GGCCTCAGAGTCGCCATTAGAGGGAAGGGAATGCCGACTCAGAGGCACCTCCCCACCAATACCAAAGGCTTCTTGAAATGCCAGGCTCCAGGGGTCCCATCTTCATTTCCATCCCACTAAAGAAACTTGGTCCTCGAGACTCATAGTTAGAGAAAAGTTCCCTTATCTTTGTTCTGACTCCAGAACTGAGCAATAGCTAGACTAAAGCTGAGCCTGTGTGTGCTGTCAGCACTATAGTTAGGAGAAGTGAGAGAGCGAGCAGCGTCTGTCAGTTACAGGTAGAAGGCAGGTCCAAAGGGTCATATGTAAGTTGGCATTCCAAGGCCATGTCCCTACGTAAGTACTTTTGTTCTAGGTAGAGGACTCAGGAGAAATGGAGCCTCTGGGCCGCTGTCTACTTGGATTCTGTAACAACTACAACCTCTAGGCAAGAATTTCCTGGTAGTTTGAATTTTTTTTTCCTTAAGCCCCAAAGGGCTGTGTGTGCAAAAGCCCCAACCCCCAAATTAGGGGTTTGAACCAGGATTATATGACTTCTCTACTCCAAGAAGTGGGTAGAAGGTGTGTGTGTGTGTGTGTGTGTGTGTGTGTGTGTGTGTGAGAGAGAGAGAGAGAGAGAGAGAGAGAGAGAGAGAGAGAGACAGACAGACAGACAGACAGACAGACAGACACAGAGAGAGAGAGAGAGAGAGAGAGAGAGAGAGAGAGAGAGAGAGAGACAGAGAGACAGACAGACAGACAGAGACAGAGAAAATAGAGCCTACAACAAAACAGGCTATAATGGGGAAGGCTTGTCATACTGCTGACATTTTACAAATTCTGTGGATCTATAAATAGGGCATCTCAAATGCATGGGGGATAGGGCTCTCCTGAATACCTGCAGCTTCTGTTTGCTGGTAGTCCCCAAAGCCAGGTCCAGGGTAGACCTCAGAAAGGATTGGCCTGACTTTCAAGCCTTTTTGCCTTCAGCAAAGAAAACTGCCCCTGACACATATGATGAAGCCTCAGGGTTCATCTTTCTCTCCTTCTTCTCAAGGGTTCCATCCTGTGTCAAGACCTAAACTAAGCTTTTTTTTTTTTTTTTTCTTCAAGGAGCGGGAATCTTGTAAAACTTTTATGCCAAACAAAGTTATAAAAACTTCCAGGGCGTTGCCTTTTCTACAGGTTTATATGAATAATAAAGAGTGTAGTCGCGTGCACACTATACTGGCCAGCCCTGGGCAGGGAAGGCTTACTAAACAGCATTATCCATCCCTAGGGCACCAGGAAAACCTCAGGGTTACCCACTTCAGGGAATATTGGCCTGGAGAGGAATTGTCCTACAGATTCCTACGAGGGGCGGAGGGTTGGGGTAGTGCCCTTGACTCCCTTGAAGTTCAAAGTTCTCCTTTGCCTTCTTGAGGAAAGGCCTCTCTTCTGTCAGCCCTCTCAAGAAATGAGCTCCAGGTAGTTCCTTCCCTTCTGGTTAACTGATTATGGGTAACTCCAGCTCTCTTCACTTTCAGTCACCTGGTCTGCACCTTTTATCCCCACCCCACAAAGCTTTCCAGTCTTTGTATCTGGGAGACCTAGAACCCAGGGGCTTGCTCTCAGAGTGGGGGTGGTAGGCCCACCTTCATGGCTCCTCTGCTTTACATTTCCCCCAGCCACCTAGGGTCTGAGTGACAAAGAAACTCCAAATCCAAAGCTACCTCCAGCCCATTTCTCATTTCAAACACCCCTGACTCCCCTTGCACCCCCAAAGCCCATAGTGGAAAGGGGGTGGGGCCCAGAGAGCTCTCTCAGCCCACACCACTTAATACCCTTGTAAACTCCCACGTGCGCTATAAACTTGGATTTTTACAACCAACATTCCTCCTTTAGCTCCAGGAAACTTTGAACTCGGCCTCTGGTTTATTTACTTGGGGGGTGGGGAGCTGGGAGCTGAGAGAGGCTGGAGGAAAAGAGGGAAAACGTGGGCAAAGGGATGATGGGGTGGGGGGTCTGGGGTGCGTTGGAAGAGCCAAGACCATCCACTGGGGGTTTGTTTACTGTTTAGGACGGAAGCATTTTCTAACACAGGCCAGACTGGGTCGTTAAGGGCGAAATGAAACTGGGTTTAGAGGCTCGGGGACGCTTTATGGCGGCGTCTAGACTGCGATCTTTTGTTCCAGGGCAGCGTTGCGGCTGGAGGGGATTACCCCAAGGGGTTGAGCCCAGAGTGCCCCTGCCAGCAAGGGGGGTTGGACATCCCAGGAGTTTGAAGGTGGGTTTGCTTGGGGGCCAGAGACCCTCTTTTTTTTTTTTTTTTAAAGAAGGTCGCCACAGAACGTCAGGTTCTTGGGTTCAGATCACACAGGCCTTTGTTTTTCTTTCATGATAACTCCCCTCTCATCCTTTAGAAATCTCTTTTGGAAGAGAGATTCTTTTCTGGGTTGTGTATTTGTGGGAAAGTAGTAACTGCAAGTTTTGAATATTTTTCTCCAAAATCAGGAGTCCTTGGATGCTAGTAGTTTCCTTTTTAAACAGGTTTGTTCTGTGGCTGTCTATTGTTATACACAAAATATGGCCAGCATGCTAACAGTCCCTGGTGTAGTTGGATATAGTGGATAAACATCACATCTCAAGAAATTCCCTCCTTTCATGCACACACAGAAGACCCTCAGTTGTATTCCTGTCTACATTCATTAAATACTGACAGTGTTCACACACCAGGAGGACATAAGCTATGTGCATCAGGTCACATTTGTTCCATGCAGACAAAAGTGCACAACCATACTACTCCTCATGTGCACATGTAAAGACACTGCCTTGAATGATAAAATTTTTGTGGGTGAGCACATGAAAGACTGTGAGCCACAATACACCTAAGTTGGCAAATCTCAAAGAGCCACACTTAGAAATTAGAGATTCAGATAGCTGCAGGAATCCCTGTTATCCAAACAGAGAGCAGTGTCTGTACTTGAGACCCAGGGTGCTCTCCCCTTCCATCCAACAATGCATCATGAATGAAAACATTTCCTTGGAATTCCATAGGACAGAAACACAGAAGGAAGAAGATGGTCCTGCACCTCTTACCTCAAATAACAATTTTTGAAGAGATGGATGAATGTCCTTACTGAAAGAACTAAAAGGATTAGTTAACTTTCTACAGAAGAAACACATGCAGCAAGTACAGATTGGTGTGAAGACTGCCCCCATAAGTCACCTCCTTCCCCGGTGACCTTCTCATTGCTGATTCCTACAAAACACATCTCTTGGGCTTTTAACTCTGGGACACCCAATGTATAAAAGTCAGGGTGGCCCCAGCCTAGGCATCTGGTTCTGTCCAGAGGAGCTTGACCATTTGGGCCAAAGGGGAAGGGGAAGAGCAAGGGGATGGGCCTCACCTTCCCACCCCTAGGCTGTGAAAAAGATGGGGGGGGCTGATTTGTCCTCTTCTCCCCTCCTTCCTTTAAAACTGTACATTTAAATTCCATTGAGAGAGAAAAAGAGAGAGAGAGAGAGAGAGAGAGAGAGAGAGAGAGAGAGAGAGAGAGAGAGAGAGAACCCTACCCTCAGCCCTACATATTTGACCACGACAGACGGAGACATCTGGCAGGAGGGCGGTGGAGCCAAGAAAATTCCTATAAATTTAAATTTGATGATGGTTACAATTAACTCCACAACAAACGTGTGCTTAAGCAGAAAGCGTTGCTGGGCATTTGGACGCAGCTCGAGTTGCACATGAGAAAAGGAGCTTAGGACTAACCATAGACTGTTCTCTGCTCCACAGCTGGAGCAGTCTTTGGTCACCTCTTGCCCCCGCCCGTGGACCTGAGCACCAGTGTCCCAAGCCCTGGCCTGTCACCTCAGAATGCCTGGTTCTCACCAGCAGGCTGTCCTAACTGCAGCAGCCTCCTCCTCCTCCTCCATTACCACCACCACCACCACCACCACCACCACCACCACCACCACCACCACCACCACTTCTGCTGTCTTAGGAGCGCAGGGGGTTTTAAGAGGAGAGGGGTTAATAAAAAGGTCAAATAAAATCATAATATTGAACAGAATGAAATATCTTTATTTGCCACCAAAAGAATTCACAGCAATCCCTCTGAGACAGGAGTAGGGTGGGGATCGCACGTGTACACACTCACTCACGCACATGGACAGTTAGAATCTCACTCCGGTTCAGCCTCCCCCTTCCTCTCCAGGTAGAGAGGCTTATGAAATTTATTTACAAAAATTCAGGCCCCAGCTAGGGAGAGGTGCCCAACCTCATTTTCCTATGCCTCCTCCACCCCAGTCTTGTTTCTTTTTAAGGAGGTAACAACTGCATAGACTAGCAATAAATCTGGGGGGACACTGCTTGGGAAAAGGTTAGGACACCTCAATGCACCAGTTAAGAGTTTTCAAAAGAGGGCTCTACACATTTAGGGTGAGAACAACTAGGCTCAGGCGGGGCCAGGCTCAGACGGAGGTAGGATTTGGATTTTGCACACCTAACACCAGGGCAAAGGTACAGGAATTTCACAGCAAGGTAGGATCACATTTAGCAGTCCCCTAACCGAGGGGCAAGGTGGGGTGGGGGCGGGGAGCCCGGCAGGTCTCGCAGACAAGGTGGCTCAGAGGATCTTTTCACTTGGGCTAGGGAAGGCTTGGAGTTCAAGGATTGTTCGGCTCTGGCGCCCACTGTGCTCGCCCCTCCCCTCACCCAATCCGAGCAGCAAGACTTTGTTGCAAGGTGTATTTTCTTTTAAATAAACAGTCTTGGGGCCTTGGCGCCAACAGGGTCCACTAGCCACGGGTCAGACACTTCCCTCACTCCTTTTTCCACGCGGGGTCTCTGTCCCTACAGTGAATTTGACCCGAGACGAAGGAGGTTCTGGAAGGAAGTGCTAGTAACGGCAGTGGGGGGCCAGCCCTGGCCACAGTCCAGTTTTCCACCCGCGGAAAAAAGACGACTTAGAAAATAAAAATAAAATAAAATAAAATTTCCCCTTCCCCCCTCCCCCCACCCCAAAGGGCTAGGTCTGCAGTTACAGCAGCGGATTTCCTGAAAAATACTGCAGCCGGTCTCTGCTCAGTTTTTTTTCTTTCATCCTTCTGTTCTGAAACCAAATTTTCACTTGTCGGTCAGTCAGGTTCAGCATCCGGGACAGCTGCAGCCGCTTCTCTTTGTTGATGTACACGTTGAAGAAAAACTCTCGCTCCAGTTCCCGGATCTGGAATTTCGAATAAGGGCAGCGCTTCTTGCGGGTGCGGGGGGCGTCTGGAGGGAAGGGAGGGGGCAAGTGCGAGGAGAGGGGAGAGAGACACGTGAGACCCCAGGCGACCCCAGCGGACCCCAGCCGCTGAACGCTCAGCGGCACTGCTACCAGTCCCGCCGCCGGGCAACCCTCCCCCAGGCCGGCGGCTCTTCTTCCGTAGCCGCTTCGCTGGGGCAAGCCTCGATCCCACTGCCAGGTCTAGCTTCGACCACTGAGAGTCTGGTGCCCCCTGCCCCTCAGGCAGAGCCCCAGCTGACGGGGTCTGCGGGTGGAGGAAAGCCTTCCTGGGCCACGTGCTTTCCCTGGGGGTCCTCTGCCTGCTCCTCGGTGCTGCCCTTGCCCCTTCCCAGTGGCCCTCCTAATGCTTCTGCAAATCCATGATACCCCTCCTCCAGAAATCCAAGGGAACCGCGGAGAATCGGCGCGAAGGAGTGAGTTCAGGCGAGAGCAGTGGGGAATCCAGGCAGGAAACCAGCGAGGAGAAGTAGCTGGACACCCTGGAGCCTCCTGCCAGGCCCTGGCGCCCCGGGACGCCCCGCCGTCTGCCTGCCGGGCTTAGCACACTGCCTGGCTGGGCCAGCCCAGAGGCCACAGACCCTGGAGAGCCATCGACACCCTCAGCGCAGAGGAACTCCGATCTTTCCCCCACTCCCCTATCACCGCCAAACCCCGGTTTACCCGGATTTAGACCCATAAGAGCACGTAATTTGAACATTTTTTAAAAAGTCGTTTTAAAAAGAAGCGGAGCGGCCTTAGAGTGCCTCTCTGGGTTCCAGTCCTGCCGCTTCGCTTCTGTCCCTTACCTCTCCCCCTCTCTGGGTTTCTCCCGGTCTGTCCCTCGCCCTCCCCTTTCTCCCCCTCCACCCCTCCCCTCCCTCCCAACCCCCCGGCAGCCCGTCTCCCCATCCTTTCTTAAACGCTCCTCTAAGTTCACGATCAAAGTTAATATCGCCCGCAATGGTGGCACTTTTAAAAATTTCACAGACCGAGGGAGATAACGGAGGAGGGGGGCTCACCCGGCTTTTCCAAAGAGCCCCTTTCCCTCCCTCCCCACCCCTTCTCCATCGTAAAAAGTCGAGTCGTTGGGAGAGAGGGCTTTGTAGGTTATAATAAAATCCTTTGAATGCTTATAAAACTCCACATAAAATCGGACTGACCCAAAACACGAGGCTGTCCGCGCTCCCCTGGCCTCCCCCCCACTCCAGCCCTCCCTCTCCGCTCCCTCCCTCGCTGCCCTCGGGTTCCCGGCCGCTGCTACCTACTGGGGGCGGCTCCCTTGGCCGGCTCCTTGGTCGCTGAGTGGGCAGAACCAGACGAGCTGGGATTCGTGTTCTCCTCCTCGGCCTCGGCCTCAGCACCGGCCTCTGCCCGGGACGCTAGTCCCGAGGCCGGGGGCGCCTCAGGCTCCCCCTTGGCCTCGCCCTTGCCGGAGCAGGGGGGCTCGGCGGGCGCGTCTCCGCCACCGCAGTAGGCGTTGTCGAAGAAGCGGTCGAAGGCTTGGGGCAAGACGCTGTTCTTGTTGACTGAGGAGTAGAAGCCTGCGGGGGCCGCGTGCGGGGCGCTGGGGTGGTGGTGGCCGCCGTAGGAGCCTTCATTTTTCATGAGGATCTCAGTGACTGTGGAAGGAGGCAGGCACTCCCGGTGCATAAGCTCGTCGGCCGCCGCATAGCAAGACGAGTAGCTGTTCCGATGGTGCCACTTGCCGGACGGCTCCAGGCCATAGGAGACCTCCCGGACTGGGGGCACCTGGGCTGAGTAGGGATAGGAGATCTGACGAGAGGGGGCCTGGGGCAGGAAGGAGGAGACGGTGGAGAACTCTGGCACGTAGTAAGTGCAACTGGGCAGATAGAGGTTGGAGGCGCAGCTCCCTCGCTCGCCGAAGTCAGCACCCCTCTCCTTGCGCGAAGGCGAGCAGAAGTTGCCCAGGTTGACCGAGTTAAACATCGTTCTCTTCTCCTGCCTGCTCCGGATGGAGGTTTTGGACCCGGTCTAGCGAGGGGGGAAATTTTGGGAAGGCGAGATGACGCGTTATCCGTCTTAGTCTCTCTCCCCGAGCACGTGATCCAAAGTAGATATTGTCATATATCAGTTCGGAGCACTTCGCAGACGTAGGAGGGGTTCTCTCTTAGGTAAGATCGGGGACGTTCAGGCGATTGGTTTGCAAACACCGCAGAAACATTATGAAAATCAATTGCAGATTTGTATTCGTTTTTCTCTCGTCACTCCCCTCCTCTCCATTCCACAGAGCGAGCAAAGGAGGAGAGAGAGAGGGTTGGGGTGGGGTGGGCGGTGGGATGGGCGGGGGCGGTGGCTGGGAGGGGGTAATTGTATTTTTTTCCTAGCTGCTGCTCCCCCCACCCCCCAGGATTGGGGGAAGGAGGAGAGCTTTCCGTTTAGGGGTCTGGCCTCCTCCTTATGATCCGCTGGGTGAAGAGGAAGGACTTTTTCCTACCTGATTTCCCCAGGAATATTGAATCCTTCTCCTCAAGTCTCAGGGACTCTTATCCCCTCTACCTGAAGAATCAGCTCCTGTTTACAAGAGTTTGAAGAAGTCCTTTAGATTATTTTCCTGGCCAGAGCCAGGTGAGCTCCCTTATAGGACAGGTTCCCAAGAAGAGTATCTGAAGTTTCCCAAAGGTGAGGCAGCCAGGCTGTGAGCCAGTGTCCCAACTTTGCCTGGCTTGCTGTGCTGCCGCTGGCTAGGGACTCCTATTAGTCATAAACCAGTGGTGAGCAGCGCGCCAGCCGCCCAGCCGGTGCCTGGCGAAGTCTGGGAAAAACCTTCTCTAATGTTGTGTTAAATATTTAGTATGAGAGAGTGGCCCTGGGTGAATATTTCATGCCTGACTTTATTGTCAATCAATGTGCAGAAAGCTACATCCACTGTGGATTTTAAAATCCCAAACCCCAAAGAAAAAGATTAGAATGAGAGTCATCTATCTTCTCTATCTGGGGCCCTTCGAGTTGGGAGCTCAGCTTCAGCTAATGGGCTGAAAAGAAGCCTGGCATTAGGGTCCACTGCTAAGGCAACTAAATTGGGGGGTCCTTTTTTAAAAAAAATGATTTTGGGAGCTTAGGGGGGCAGAGAGGCCGGGTGTCTATCTTTAGTATCAATCAACAAGACAGTAGAATAAAACTGTAGTCCCACTGTGGGCAGGGTGGGGCCAGAAGTCCCCAGGGCCCCTCATTGCTTCTTTTCTCTGCCTCCTCCCTGCTTCTCAGTCCAACCCTGCCCTCCCACAAGTCTGTAAGCCTCCTTCCTGGACTGCTGTGTCCAGAGGGGAATACTCAGTGATTCTGCCCTCCCTAGCCTCCCATCCCTTTGGCCATTACAGCACACATCTGGGCAGCTGAAAATAACTTTATTGAAAGGCTCTGGACTGGGTCCATGGGGCCAGAACAGCTGGCAGAAGCAGAAAATAACGGTAACTTTGGTCCTAAGAAGGAGCTATCAGGATAGAATTGTTAACAGAGAAGAGTGAAGCCCCCCAGCAACTCAGCCCTCCACTCTTAGGGAAAATCAAAGGTTGTTCAAACTATCTTTGCATCCTTAAGGCTGGCTTCACATTGGCTTTCCTCTTTAAAGTGTTTGATTTGATTTTCTTTGTTGAAGGGCGAGGCACTGAAATCCTTAACCAGACAGGGAAAATACAAAAATAGTTAGCTTATTTCCAAATATATCCCCCCCCCCAAACCCATTCCTCCTTAACTCTTCTACCTGTCCAAATTTACTCAGCCTTTAGAATAACACTTGGTGGAATCTGCCTCCACCACAATGGGTCTCATTCTGGTGTGTGTATGGGGGGGAGTGTGTCCTGAAAATACTGCAGAAGAGACCTCCAGTGTCTATGCACTTAGTGCTAGGCATTGCTTCTTGGACTTCATAGTCTTGGCCAGATCTTAACTGAAGGCAGATAACTAGACTGGGGGGGGGGGGTATCTCCGTAGAGAAGGGGCCAGAAACAGAAGAATCTGTTGCGCTTTCCTTCCCTTTAGTCTTTTTTTATAGGAGGAGCTGGGGGCAACATTTTTAATTATAATGGTGGGGGAACTATGGACTGTGGCTTTTATGGGGTTTGCACTGACCTCATTAAACTTGAGTTTACTGGAGGCAAAATGCTCCCCAAACAGTGATAGAAGCCAGAAAGAGGAAGGCCAGAGGTACCCCATCTCTTGCAGAGATGAGGGCAGTCTGGGCTCCAGCTTTCCCCATGTTCCCACTAGGTTCTACCTCCTTCTTCCTCTGGATCTCCTGGGCAGTGTGGGGCCCAATCCCCTAAGTCCTGTTTTGTACAGCCTGGAAGAGGGGGGTGGTGTCTGCTTCCTGTGAGAAGACAGCTGTGGGCCTGAGCACTTGAATTTGACCACCAAAGTTTATTCCTGGGCCACCATAAAAGTGAGGCAGGCGGCTGCAGAGAGCAGTCTGATTTTCTTGAAACCCAAAGAAGGAAGGCAAGAAGGGTGTCAAGGATATGATGTCTAGGAATCTTCAGGGTCCTCCCACAGACGTGTGGAAAGGAATATTTTTCTCCATTAAAGCAAAGCATGAAGTTTTTTTTTTCCCCCGGGTGTTGGTCTTTCAAAAAATTTAAAACAAAACAAAAAAAAAACCCTCAGCAACTGGTAATTGCTGCTGGGGTCAAGGAAAGAAGGCCCTGGTTTCTGTGGTCAGTAAGCTGTTGATTAGAAAAAAAAAAATGCTTTGGGAGGGGTAGTGGCCTGCTTGCCTGGCCTTGGGTCCAGACCACCTGGAAGCCTCAGCTGGGTTTGTGCCCTCTCAGTCTGGGCTTCTAGTCACTACATCCTTTACATTTGGTTGGAGGGAGACGTCTATGACCACTAAACCCATCACTTGCAGGCACTACTGAAGGCAGCTGTTTTCCTTGTCGTTTTGTTTTAATTCCTCACCTGGTTGGTGCCGGCCATCCTTCCATCTGCCTACAGTACCAGCTTTCACCTAAATCCACTCTACCTCCTTGAGGGTTCCTGGTGGCCTCAGTCCCGGCTAGCCTGGCCGCTACAAGGCCACTGCGGTCTGGGCTGCTGCTGCCTCGGTGGTCTGGCTAGAGCTAGGACAGACTCCAGCGGCCTTCCCTCCCACATAGGGAACAACGGGGTCGGATTCAGAAGGGGGCACTGTCTACTGACTTCTGTCCTGGGCGGCTCCTAGAGCAGCCTCCCCCTAACAGCTCTGAGCAGCCTTTCCCTGAATTCTGGAGTACAGATCTTGATAAGGGAAAGAGACCACCCCACAGAGGTAGGAAGAAAACCCTGGGAGGAAAAAGGAGGCCTTAAATTCAGTCTCTTGTGGAGTCAATAAAAAGAAGGAAGAAGTGCTGCCCATAGGCATCCTCACTTGTTCCCAAGCTAGACTGGCGAAGAAGAGCCCTGATAGAACAGCTTGTCTCTTCCTGCTCATTTTTCTTTCACTTAGCAGCAACAAGGAGGCATAGAATAAACCTTTAGCGTGTTTGGGGATTTTCAAGCTAGAGGTTTATTTTGAACCCGGGACACCCCACATCTCACCCAGTCCTTAGAGATCCAGAACACGTAGGACTGCCTGTTTTCTCCTCAGCCCAGGTCAGCGCGGCAAGCCCAAGGTTTCAGGTTAGGCCACCAAAGCGGGTGGATCCGCTAGAGGAACCTCCAGACCATGGACAAGGTAGGGGAGCAAGGAGCAAAGCCACCCTCTGCCTCACTCAGCTTCCTCCCTGAGGGGTTGTCCCCGGGGACTAGCAATGCGACCCCATTTCTCCCATAAACGCCCCATTTTATGGGCCAGCTTCACCATGAAGAATCTATCTTAAAAGCAGTAGGAGCCGCTGCCATTGGGCCTTAGTTTCCAAAGCTAGTTGCGACTCCACAGAAAATACCTTTTCTGTGGGAGATCTCCCGCCTCGCTGCTGCGGCAGAGCACAGGCCGGGTTGGGTTGGCCGAGGGGCCATTCCCCGGCTTTAGCGCCTACTTAGGCTCGGACCCAGTCTCCGTTGATCAAAGTGAGCTCGCGGCATTTTTATGAGATCAACTTCAGTGGCTCTTTACTTGTAATCAGACGCCTGGGTCGAAAATGCAAAAGGGAACAGCTCGTCAATCCAAAATGGAAAAGGAGGGAGGGAGGGAGGGGGAGAAGGAGAGAGAGAGAGAGAGAGAGAGAGAGAGAGAGAGAGAGAGAGAGAGAGAGAGAATAAAAAATAAGGTGACACAGAAGATCCCAGTCACCTACGAAAAAGACCCTTTGCCCCCAGCAACAACGGTTTGTGAATCTGTCCCAGCTTCCAGGCCCTGCCTTCTGCCAGCACATTGGCCCGACTTCTGAGCCCTAATGCCAGGGCGGACAGAGAGGAGCCCTGACTCGCCTGTGTTAGGAAACTCCATCTGAAGCTTCCACAGTAGAACCTCCTCGCGTGGGCGAGGTTACGGCCTAGAACTGCACAAGGAAGCCGCCTTCTTTCTGCTCGCTTTAAGTCTCCCCGTCTCGCTGCTTTCCTCCGCGGTTGTTCTCCGTGGTTCTCTCTTCACTACAGCCAGAAGTTGAGTTACAGGAAGATTCGCCAGAGATTTATCGCCTGGCTCCAAACTTGGAGAGCCTCGTTGTCATAAACAGCCTCTATTGTCTAGACTTTTATCTCCGGGTATGGATCTGGATCTTGCATTAGTGAGGCTCTGGGGATACGGACTGTCTCCGCGGTGTGTGCAGTGCAGCCCGTGCCTGCCGGCGATCACTGCGGGTTTGTTTGGGTCAGTTTAGAAGCAAGAACAAATTTGTTCTTGGAGCTGTGCAGGTATACCTAAGTATTCACGGAAGGAAGCCTGGGATGGGGAAGGTCTCTTTCTCTCTCTCTCTGCCTGGGAATATTCTGGTGCGTGTACTTGTGTGTTGGGTGAGAATTTGTCATGGTGTGCTTTGTTCTGGGCATTTTAAGTGTTCCTGTCTGGGCTTTTT